CTTGTGTCTCATTATGCGGGAACCTTCCTTCGCTTTGGTTTAACTGCAGGTCGCTGCACCATCATTTTGAGCATCTCCTGCTATAAAATTATCAACTGGGCGCGCAACACACCACCTGAGCTGCTCTACGACACTTGGAACCTACTTATGCTTCCCGGCACTACGAAGGAGCAGATGAAGGACCTCTATCGTCCGCAGGGATGGTTGACGGCTTCCCTCTGCGCTGTTCCACTTTCAATCAATCTCTTGGTATGTGGTTTCTCCGAAACAACCTACAAATGTGTATGCGCAGCGGGGTTCTACATTGTTCGAATCAACATTCCACTGTCAAAGACAATGCAATTTCTGTGTGACATTCATGTGTTCGTTTTGCCAATCATAATCATCCTCTACATTCCGGCATTGCGCGCATTGTCAGTTGGTGTCTGCCGAAAACTAGGCCAGAGCCTTTGCAGGAGGCGACACAATGTGGACGAGCTCGGCCCATAGGAAATTAAGAACCTCCTAGAAATGCCTTGATGAAACGATATACTGCCTCCGTGTATTTTCATTGTAACTTTTGTGAGTGTTTGGAAAACCTTTTAAAAACCGTCGAATACATTTTCTTGTAATAAAACAAAAGGCTGTTTATTCATATTAGGCATCCTTTCGTCGTCTCTTGTAAGTTATTGCCAGGAATTCGCATTCTCGACCCAAACGACAAAGTGAGATTCAAACGAATGTTGAAAAATGCCCTGTATACAGTCATTATGGAATTTTTAGATTAAGGATCTTTTGTAAAAATTATATGTGGGGGAAGAGCTTGAGGATAGAAGAAGAAGAAGAAGAAGAAGAAGAAGAAGAAGGTGCGATAGATTAAACATGTAGTTTGCCAATATATGATTATATAGGAATTCCGTGAAAAAATTAAGAAGAAGCATGTGTGATCGCTGCGACAATAATTTTGTCGCAGGTAGAGCACCAGAGGTAATATCAGGAACGAGTCTTTTTATTGTACAACTTAAAAAGAGCAAATGGTTCGAGACATTTATGCAGACACGGGATCTGGTGGCTATGCGGCTAACGAATCCAGTGCTGTGTTTTCAGAAGACGCTGATACAAGCCCTTGCCATTCCGTGGTCGACCCCGACGACAGATGGCGATCACATTTCGCCCTCACCCTGCAGTAACAGTCGCTCGCTTCGTTCAAATAGCAGCAATTATCACTCCTCTGATAAACGCCCACAACCTAACCCAATTACTCCCCCCTCATTCAATACAGGAACCTCTACACGCCGACCTCGCCATGTAGGCAACGTGTAAACGATTACGAATTGAGACACAGGTTCGCATCCCAGGTATATGCATAGATTGAGAAGAAGCATTTTCGATCACCGGAATCGTAGTTTTATTTGTCTGCGCTTTCGAACTCTTGCG